CCCCCAAAACCCCAAAACCCCAAAACCCCTAAATACCTTTTAATTATTGAACATTTAGAACAAATATTGAGAGCTGCTGCTTACTCATCTTCAGATTCCAGAATTTCCTTCTTATCTTTGATAAATAGCTCTAGTACTTTATTCAGAGACATTCCTTTAGTCTCTGGTAGAAAGATAAACACGAATAGAAATGCCATGGCTGCAAATAATAAAATTAGAAGGAAAGCGAAGATATCACCATATGGGACATGGTTCAACAAAGTCAGAAAGCTGAAAGATACAGCAAAATTAGACACCCAGTTTGTAGTTGCAGAGAGACTGTTTCAGACACCCCTTAAGTGCAGCGGATAGATTTCAGAATTTACTGTCCAAGGAGTAGGACCCATTCCAATAGAGAAAGCCATGAGATATAAAAAGATTCCACCTGCAGCTAGCCATCCTCCAAAATTCTGGGAAATATCTTGGTTTTCATTTGTATGATTTCTAAATCCCATACCTATACCAATGAAGCCCATAAAAAGAGCTACGAATGGTAAGGTCCTGAGTAAAATCCATCTTCTTCCCATTCTATCGATAAAAGTCAAAGCTATTACTCCTCCCATGGCATTTACAAAGGCTAATGGAAGTGAACTCAGAAGGGTGACTTTACGATTATTCTCATCTCCAAACCCTGCGGCTTGCATGATATCAGGACCATAATACATTGCTGTATTTATGCCACAAAGTTGCTGGAACATCTGTAAGCCACAACCTACGAACAATCATCTAGAATATTTGCTAAATGATTGCTTGATCAATTCTTTATAAGGGTAATTTTCATATTGTTTTACTTTATTGGCTTCTTCTCTCTGTTCTTCTATGATCCCGAATAGTCTCTCTAGGGGTTCGGAGTAGATTCTTTCAAGTGCTTCAATAGCATCACTTTCTCTACTATTTTTGAAAAGCCATCTTGGTGATTCACTCATGAAGAGAATTCCTATTCCTTGAAGTAAGGCTGGAATTCCTGCTAGCCCGAGCATGTACCTCCAATTTTTGCCTAGTAAGAGGCATATTACTAGAGCTAAGAACTGTCCTGAGGCTATGAAAACCACGTTAAGATTTACTAGGACACCTCTAATATTTTTAGGAGAAATTTCTGCAATATAGACTGGCACAACCATTGCAGCTACTCCTACACCTATTCCTACTACAAATCGTCCAACAACGAGGATGAATATTGAAGGGGTGAATGCCATTATAACACAGCCTGTTCAGAATGCTGCATCTGCCACCAAAATAGTGATCTTTCTACCAAATTTATCTGAAATAGGACCTCCAGTGAGAGATCCAATAGCTGCTCCTAAAAGAGTCATTGAAACCACCAATTCTTTTTGGAAATCAGTGTAGGTAGGGAAGTCATCCTTGACGAACAGATTGGCCCCAGCAATGACGCTGGTATCATAACCAAACAGGAACCCTCCAATGACTGAAAAGAAGATCATGCATGACATATATAACTTATTCAGATGTAAATTTTCCTCCCTGTCCTCATTTTGTAATTGAGATGCGTCACTTCTCTGGGTCGATGTTGAAGAAATAGGCTGTCTGTCTCTTTTCATCGGCATTTCACAAATTTCAATAATTTATAAATATTATGGGGTTTTGGGGTTTTGGGGTTTTGGGGTTTTGGGGTTTTGGGG